TACTCGGAAGACTGAAGCGGAAGGATCGCCAGAGCCCAGCAGGTTGAGGTTGCAGTGGCCAGGAGCGGCCACTGCACTCCAGTCTGGGTGACTGAGTGAGACTCCAACTCAAAAAAAAAAAAAGGATGAGCTCTGGGCACGAGGACACGCTAGCCAGCAAGACCCTGCTTCCCTCACCATTCACAGGCTTCCAGAGTTGGAGGAAAAGGCTCAGGAGCTCTGAGGAGCCTGAGAAAGTTCCTCACCTATGCAAGGATAAGTAATTTTATGGAAGCAGCTTATCATTTAAGCCAAATTTGGTTCCAGGAGTTGGCAGTCCATATAGTAAAACATATGTTCATACATGTTCTTGCAAACCATGAAACTATCTACTGCAAATACCACTAAACACATGACTGCACTCACTTCCCATACATTGGTCTTTATGCCCACACCTCGGGGGTACGTGATCACAGGTTTAAGAATTAAAGGAAATGCTTAATTATCCAGAGACTAACATATAAATGAAATAGTTAAAATAATTTAGGTCTAATGAGGGAGGAAGACATCACCCTGGCTGGCAAAAGTCTAAATTACATAGACATTTTGTATTATTCAAGGAAGACATTTAAAAATCTATCTTTTTAAAACTAAGTCCTTCAACAAATAGTCACTGCATGCCACTCGCAAAGCCTAGAGGAGAAGGGGAGAGTAAACAAGGAAGTTTGGAAAACACATCGTACATCCCAATTGGCTGTAAACAGCACTGAGAAAAACAGCACCTTCCCTGGTAGCAACTGCCCAGCACAAGGTTTAATACAAGATGTCCAGTATCTCACACGGTCTTACTAAGAACTACAACCGGGCCAGACGCGGTGGCTCAAGCCTACAATCCCAGCACTCTGGGAGGCCGAAGTAAGAAGACTGCCTGAGCCCACGGGTTCAGGACCAGCCTGAGCAAATTCACAAGCCCTCACCTCTACAATAAATCAAAAAAGTAGCCGGGCGTGGTAGTGCTCGCCTGTAGTTCCGGTTACTTGGGAGGCTGAGGCAGAAGGATCGCCGGAGCCCAGCAGGTTGACACTAGGGTGGCCATGAGCGTGACACTGCAGTTCAGCCTGGGCAACGGAGTGAGACTCTGACTCAAAAAAAAAAAAAAGCTGCAGCCGGCCTGCCCCACCACCAATGACCTATGCAGACAGGCCTAAGTCAAGGCTGCAGGCCCATAGGTGGCTCATGCATCTTACCAAGAGCCTACCCAAGCCCCGCTCCAAGCCCCGCTCCAAGCCTGACATCCCTCTTTTCCCTCCTTTAACTCTTCCCACACAGACCTGGCTAGGGGACCTTCTCAGCCCCTCCTCCCAGCCTGTCCAAACCTCTCCAAGATGCTGTCCTCTGTCACCATGAGACCCCACCCACCGACAGCTCCCTCACCTCCTGACCCAAGCCTCCCCTTGGGAGCACACACCACGACCCTGGGCTAGCAGCCGCCCCTTCTGGTCATCCACTCACTCCCCTTCCAGTCACCCACACACAACCGTCGCAACTCTGGGATCCGGCTTACTGCCTTTCTACCAGGAGTCCCATCGACATCCTTGGCAGCCCGCACACATGAGATTCTTTCACATCTGCCCCTCAGTCCATGGATATCCCCCCTTCAAACCACCCACCCAACACTTCAGCAATCCATTTTCATAGTCACAACCTCGACTTTCTACCACCAGTAACTGCGACACCCCCAAAATCTCTTATTTCCAGCATCTCACACTCAAAGCCACACCTGGCCACTGCGGCTTTCTTGTCCCAACAATCCCACTCCGATGATTATCTGACACAACCAGGATTGGGGGATGCTGGGCAGGCGTTACCCAACATCCCACAACCTCCCCAAGAACTCCATCACTCAGCTGAGATTTCCCAGTTGGTTCCTCACAGTCACAACAGTTATCACTCCCATGCTTTTCTCGGTGTTCTTAGCTTCTCCAACCGTCACTGTGGGGAAACCCTAGCCCAACTCCCTTCCTCCTGTGCTTTCAACTTACAGCAGTTAAACACGGGCAAAAACACATAACAAAACTCACTTCCAATTGATAATGTCATATCTCAAATGAACACTCAACAACACTATCTACAGCCTCATCAAAAAAGCTTGCTTTTTTCCAGGAAGTAAACAGAAGTAAACAAAAGACACTACTCATCATCTCATCACCAAACTGACCAACTGGTGAGTACTCTCTGTCCTCATAACAAACGAACTATCCATGAGCCATGTTAAGGTAACCCTGTCAACAGCATAATCAACCCCATCCTGTTCCTCTGCATACAGTTCTCTTACCCCTAGAATACTGTCATCAGCATACAAGAAATATAGTCTTTCCTGATATTTAAGAATATCCCATGGCCACTTCCTTTCTGTTCCTCTTTACAAAACTACTGGAAAATTTTAAAGAAAACTTCAAACGAATATCAATTTATTCTAACAAATTTCATTCGATGAAAATTTTAGCTTGCTAATTACTAAGTGTGCACCCTTCTCATGAGTAGATTAAAGCTGTTTTAGCAAAACTTTCTGTTGTTTCTGGCTCATGGTTAGTTAAAATTTTAAGTTGAACTTATTAATGAGCTTTTAAAAATTATAACCGAAGTTACAGCAGGAAAAGGACAAAAAGGGGCTTACCTGAACAATACAAGAATGCAAAACTCCAGATGGAAAGTCTTCCCCACTTTTGAGTTGCAATTAATGAATACTTCAACTGCCTAATCTTACCCCAACTCATGTGGAAACCAGAAGGAAATGCAGAGACAGATCAAAAGGGGACCCTGAAGAGGCCAACTCATGAAGCCCTGGCCCCACAGCTGTCTTGGAATGCTCTGGAACTTCAGAAGAACTAGAGCGTTCCTCAAATAAATCCTGCTCTCTTTTGACTGGAAAAGGCTAAACTTAACGTGTTCAAGTGGTCTTATAGAACACACCACCTTTAAAAGAAAACCTGAAGGAAACATTCTCTTCGAAAAGACTAGGTGCTAAGGCAAAAAATCTCATTATTCCTAGGAGAGCAGAAATTGTTTAAAAACTTTTCAAGTGTGATCGAAAATGTTGTCTAACGGAGCTTGACTGCAAAGCCATAAAGAAGTCCTGTGTTCAGAGAGACCATCCACAGCTGCCAGAACCATCAGGAGAAGGGCTGCTGGCAACAGTCATGGAAGACACCGCAGGATCACAAGACCACAAGATCTCGCGCCAACTACAAAGGATGAAATGCGCTTTAATTTGCAAGGAGATCTCAGCCCCTCTTCACCACCCAGCTGGAGATCAAACAGTTGGTCAGTGCCATAAACACTGAGTCAACCTCACCACCATCCACTTCTTACAGTGATGTGTCAAATATGCCTTCCCAAAATCTGGTCCAGCCGTTAGACCTTGCTTCCAGTTAGACAATCTCATGGGGAAACAAGTTAGAAAGGTGGAGTTTGTACACAGAAAATGTGCCCGACTCTCTTCAAAAAGTCAACGTCATAACAAAGAAAAGTGGTAGACACACTGCCCTAGAATCAGAGAGACTAAAGGGACCCAATGGCTAGACACAACGAGTAAACTCAGAAAACATGGTCATAAAAGGGGGAATAAAAAGTACAAAAGGCATAGAGACAACTGAGGAAATACTTTAAACAGAGACTTAAGTATGGGATAATATGAAATTTCCATTAAACTATAAAAGCACAAGAACAATTGGGCTCGGTGGCTCAGCCTGTAATCCCAGCACTTTGGGAGGCCGGGGGCAAGTGGACTGCCTGAGGCCACGAGTTCGAGCCCGGGCAACTTGGTGAGACCTCCTCTCTACAATAAAGCAAAAATTGGCCGGCGTGGTAGCGCATCCCTGTAGTTCCGGCTACTTGGAAGGCTAATGCGGTAGGATCGCCGGAGCCCAGCAGTCAATGCTGGGGTGGCCGTGAGCATGTCACCGCACTCCGACCTGAGTGACAGAGTGAGACTCCGACTCAAAAAAGAAAAAACAGTACAAAAACACTGTGGTTACAAATGAAAACACATTCTTAGAAACACATGCTGAGCTGGGTTCGGTGGCTCAGCCTGTAATCCTGTGCCTTTGGGAGGCTGAGACGAGTGGATTGCCTGAGCCCGCGGGTTCGAGACCCACCTGGGCAACGAGACCTCCTCTCTACAATAAATCAAAAAATCAGCCGGGCGTGGTAGTGCGTGCCTATAATTCCAGCTACTTGGAAGGCTGAGGCGGAAGGATTGCCGGAGCCCAGCAGGTCGAGGCTGCGGTGGCCGGGAGCAGGAGAGTGAGACTCCAACTCACCAAAAAAAAACAAAACAAAGAAACACATGCTGAAATTTCTACAGAGGTAGATTCAAGATAATTAAGTTAATTTCAAATGATTCAGGAAAAAAAATACATCAATAAGGAATATGGTAAATGTCAAAACACAAAATTACAATTTAAAGATCTTAATTGGCTTTATTTGCAAGTCAACAACTGGGCAACTCTTCATTCCAAAAAAGAATGAGCATTCTAGAGAGTCCAACAGAGAAGGTTGGTTTCAGACAGGACAGGGCTGAAAACAGAAGCAAAGAACTGTGAAAGGCTGATGCTGAAAACCAATGCTGCTGGAAGTTTAAGCTATCTTGAGCCTTCAAGGAATATGATTCTGGGCCTTGAGTCACACGACAGGCGGCTGTAGCCTTTGTGCCTCTGACTGTAGACTGGTCTTTTCTTCCCCTACAATGTTTTGTAAACTGTTATAAAAACTAAGGGGTAGCAGAAGACACCTTCCCTCTCACCTGTTGATCCCCATTACAGACGAGCTTCCTCCTCTGACTGCTGTTACCAAGAGGCCTTTCTACTATCTGTCTATAGCATGGAATGTTACAGTTACTTTTTTAAACTGGAAAAGGGAAAGAAAAGCTGCAACTTATCAAAATGCTATGAGTCATAAACAAACCAGGCTTGTATGGAAAATGCTGTAATACTGCTTCACTTGTTTTCTGCCTATATCAGCAAGCCCTTAACTTTTTAGCCAAGGAGCAATCATCCACTCCTTTGCATTCTGTTTCTTTCAATTATTTCAGGATGAAAGAACAAAAAGCAGACTAGTCATCTCCAAGTTACTTTCCTTGTAGGGAAAGAACCGATGACACATGCCTGCAGTTCCAGCTACTCGGAAGGCTGAGGCGGAAGGATCGCCGGAGCCCAGCAGGTCGAGGCTGCGGTGGCCATGAGCGAGCCACTGCCCTCCAGCCGGGGTGACAGTGAGACTCCGACTCAAAAAAAAAGAAGAAAAGGCAGGAACCGGGGACACCAGGAATCGCTGACTGGTCAACACCAGGTTACCTCCGGTTGGCTGTCTTGGGCCAGGGTTCGAGTCGAGGAAGCGCCACAATCGCATCAACTGACACAGGCCGTGTGGGAAATGAGGCTGTCCAGTCTCTCCCTCCTCTGCTTCCCCTTCTGGGAAGGTTGGGTAACAACTCTGCCTGGTGACAGGAGCCTCGGCCTGGTGACTCCCCACTGACGTTTAGTTGAGTGTGCTGAGCACCTGACGCAAGATTATTTCAAAACAATGGCCTCGTAACTTTTATTTAATGTGTGGTAAAATATTTATTTTTAATCTAATTGTAGGGCTTATTAGTGTGCACTAGTGTTATTCTTTGAACTTTTTTTTCAGTTCAAAATCTGCCATAACAAAATGGGGAAAAAAAGGTCCCTGATTTTCCTCTGCTCAGTCCATCTTTATTAATATGGTTAAGTATCCAGGCTTTTTGTATCCAGGCAATTTTACTAAATAATCTTAAAAATGTATCATGAACGTAAGGTTTTTTTGTGTTTTTTTTTTTAAGTTGGAGTCTCACTTGGTCGCCCAGACTGGAGGGCAGTGGACGCTCCCGGCCACCGCAGCCTCGACCTACTGGGCTCTGGTGATCCTTCCGCCTCAGCCTTCCGAGTAGCCGGAATTACAGGCGCACGCTACCATGCCCAGCTGATTTTTTGATTTATTGTAGAGATGAGGTCTCGTCAAGTTGCCCAGGCGGGTCTCGAACCCGCGGGCTCAGTCAGTCCACTCACCTCAGCCTCCCAAAGGCGTGGGATTACAGGCTGAGCCACCAAGCCCGGCGAACGTAAGTTTTAAAACTCGAAATTCTTCTATAATAATCTCAAGTGGGATCACAAAATGCTCCAACTATTCACCAGCAAAATGAATGTGGGCTGAGCACTGGCTGTGTGTCCAACACTGCCAAGAGCTTCACGTGTACTGACTTATATTCTCCTCATAGCAACCACATGGAAGGTGTGTGTTATTTCCTTACCAGTTTGAATTTTTTTTTCTGAGTCGGAGTCTCCCTCTGTCACCCTGGCTGGACTGCAGGGGCATGCTCATGGCCACTGCAGCCTCGACCTGCTGGGCTCACGCAATCCTTCTTCCCTCAGCCTTTCAAGGAGATGGAACCACAAGCACATGCCACCACGCCCAGCTAATTTTTTGATTCCTTGTAGAGATGAGGTCTCACCAAGTTGCCCAGGCTGGTCTCGAACCCTTGGACTCAGGCAATCCTCTCACCTCAGCATCCCAAGTAAGTCACCACACCTGGCGGCTTCCAGTTTGAAATTTAAACGCAACACAGACATTAAACTAACCGAGCAAGGTCAGACAGATTTCAAGGAGTACTGCTGAAATAAATTTATTTTGAAAATAAACACAAAGATTGCTTCCATAAGGGAATAGGGTGCCGCAAAATCAATGACATTGCATTCTGTCTCCAAAAAGGCAAAAAATGAGGATTTCGACATTCAGACATAAAAGCACCAATAATCACAAAAGTATAATCTACATATCAGAGTATCTGGTGCCAGCTGCTCTCACCAGTGTGATTTATAAAAAGAAAATTGATTTCCAAAACTAAGCAAAGATACTAGGTCCATAAATCATCACACTGGATCACTAGTGGAAAAGCACACAGGGGTACTGATGGCCAAAACCTGTCAAGTGTAAACCAGACCTTGGGCTGTCAACAAGTTGTCTTAAAACTGTTGTCACAGGCCAAGTGTGGTGGGGCTGACACCTGTCATCCCAGCACTTGTGCAAGGTCGAAGATCACTTGAGCCAGGAGTTCAAGGTTGCCGTGAGCTATGATGGTGTCACTGCACTCCAGCCTGGGCGAGAGAGCAAGACCCCATCTTTAAAAACGTGTGATATCTTTTTTGTTCTTCCATTGCCTGGCACACAGCTCCTAAAACTCTGAGAATGTAAGTGCTAAGTGTCTTTTTCTGTGCTAGTGAATGAATGAGGGCTGGGGGCCTTCCAGGAAGCCCGGGGGGGACTTGACTGTAGGGTAATCAGCTAGTGACAAGAGGGCTGGAACTCCAGGTGAAGGATGAGTTGACCCACCTTCAAAGGCCAATGGCATATCAACCATGTCTTCTTACTAAAGAAAGCTTCCAGAAACAGCCAAACCACTGGTTCAGAGAGCTTCCAAGCTGGTGAACACAGGGCAGTGCTAGGAGTGCGATGAGTACACCATGTGGACGGGGTGGCCCCCTGCCCGGCCCCAGCCTTTGTATGCCGCCGACTGGAGCCGCAGTCTTTGCGATGAACAGGGAGCCTAGTGGATGCACCCCTTCCCTCCATTCCACGAGCCATCTAGCAAATCGAAGAGCTCAAGGGCGAGGTCACAAGTGCCTCCAATGTACAGCACACCCATCCAGAGCACAGACGTGAACAGTGGCTTGTCTCTGGAGGGACACTCCTGTGGAACTGACACTATTCTCGGTGGACAGTCTCACCACAAATTTACCTGTGGGACAGCCAGCTGGCGTCCCCAGAGAGAGACATGATAGTGGGAGAAAAACCCCAGACACTTGGGCATAGAAGCTGTCTGTGTTGAGTGTTGAGTACAGAGAAAAAGAATTTGTATTTCCTCTATAACACAGTGGGAAGGATATGTATTATCACAATATAATGTCAAAAAGGGAACACAGCTGGTGGCTCACGTCTGTCATCCCAGCACTTTGGGAGGCTGAGATGAGGCCACTGCCTGAGCCCACGGGTTCAAGATCAGCCTGGGAAACTTGGCGAGACCTCTTCTCCAAAATAATTCAAAAAATTAGCCAGGTGTGGTGGCACATGCCTGCAGTTCCAGCTACTTGGAAGGCTGAGGCGGAAGATCGCCTGAGCTCAGCAGATTGAGGCTGCGTTGGCCGTGAGCACGCCACTGTACTTCAGCCTAGGCGATGGAATGAGACTCCGACTCAAAAAAAAAAAAAAAAAAAAGAAAGAAAGAGCAAAGGAACACAGCTAAACTCTGAGAGGGTCTGTCAGATAAAATGGAATAATTAATTGTCTTAAGTGTGGCATGTAGTTACAAAGAATACCCGTATGTTAAGACATATTATGAGATGTCTGGGATTTAATGCAACTTTCAAAAGGCTCAACAACTACAACAGTTAATACAGCGAGACGTCAGTTCATGCAGATCCTGACGGAGAGCACACAGGCTGGGTGGCTTGGCTGTCATTTCAACGTTTCTACGTGGAGGCAAGTTCATTCAAAACACTTGGGGAAAGGCAGCAGGGGACGGAGGGTAGCCGAGTCTGGAGTCGGCAGCCGCAGCACAAGGCTTTGCCAAAGAGGGGCTTCGAAGTCTGCACCGTCTCACCTGCAATATTATTACTAAAAATAGGGTAAAATGGCAAAAACAGTTGCAATTCCTGAATTTAGATGATGAGTGCAGATGTTCCGTTGCCTCTTTCAACTTTTCTATGCATTTGAAATTTTCATAATAAAAAGTTACGGGTCTGTGGTTTGGCTTTTGTAATTCCTTTGAAAGACACCAGAAGTGCAACTCAAAACCTTCTTAGGCACCTAAAAGAATTTATTGGGAACTCCAATTTTAATGTCCTGTCGGTGGAACCTAGGGACAATGGTCTAGAGGCCCCTGGTGCAGGCTGTCTCCGCAGCTACAACCCCAGAATTAAGTGGAGTGTGCAATTCTAATCAAGTACTGCTGACTGCACAGCACTTGCTCGGTGTGCGAGGAACTGGCCAAGACGCCATCACGCCACATGAACATGTGAAGGCCTTCAGAGCCCAATTCTCACACAAACAAAATTAGTAAACTCTAAACACAACACAGCTAACACCAAGTTTCAATACAAGAGCTCTTAAGCATGGACACAAGTCACAAGAAGCATGGATTTGGGTGGGAGAAAATATCTATCTTCAAGCTCCGTGTAAAATACACCACACCTCCTTCCATCATTGGACACATTCAACAAACCACCATACACGATCAGCCCAGGGACAGCATCCAACATTCAAGCGGGTAGCTAGAGACTGAGAGCAAGCTCGTGGCCAATGAGTCTGTCCACCCCGCTAAAACATCAGTAAAGACCCTGGACACAGAGACTTGCACAGAATTTCCTGGCTGCCTCCGTATATACAGTCACACGTGGACACGCCAGGAGGGCTCTCCACCTGATTCCAGAGCAGAAAGCGAGTGCTTCGCATCTGGGGCTCTCCCAGACATAATGCTGCATCTCTGATTTTGTCTGGTCCTTATTTATATTCCTTCTTGCTGTGATAAAACTACAATAATAAGTACTGCACTTTCTTGAGTTGTGCATCATCCTAAATGAATTATCAAACCTGAGGGAGTTGTGAAAATCTCCCAATTTGTAGTCTGTTGATCAAAAATGCATGTGACCTGGGAGGCACTGGGCATGAGGCTGGTGTCTGAAGCAGGGGCAGTCTTTCAGAAACCTGCTAAGTCTGCCCTGGGTAGCTGGTGTCAGAACTGCACTCAGATGACACACAACTATTCACTGATCAATATGAAAAAGGAGAGAGGTCAAAGACTACTCCATAATTTTTTTCAGATAAGCATTAAAAGCTAGATTTTAATACTTTACAAAACAAAGTCTGAATTATCTGTTATGTTAACAAAACCATGTTGTCACTTTAGTTACTGATAGAGAGGCCACAGTACTATGTTACACAACATAATAGTCTTTTTTTCAACTATTTAAATTCAACTGATATCCTGATGGCCCTATGTATCGTACTGTGTTCAGAAACACGCGGAAAAGGTATCCATAGCCTTCATTAGATCAGCGAAAGGTCTGTGGCACAACCACCTCCACCTAAACCATAGACAAAAAGCAGTCCCTCTGGGTCCCCGATGGGTTTGTGGAGGCCACCTGAAAGCATCAACTGATTAGTTATTTAAGACAATCTTCCAACAGCTACAAAATCAAAATAAAATTTCCAAGAATATCCCTAGCAAAGATTATCAGAAACCAGAGTTTCTCAGACAAATAACCAATTCCAGGCCAACAGAAGAAAACGGATGAGGAACTTGGAACATCTTGCCACACCAGAAGCAAGGACTCTATCCAACACCACTGGAGTTGTGTCAAAGAAACAAAAGGGGTTCTTCCACACCAGCATCTTGACTTCTCTACAGATCTGAAAACTAGCCAGGCAGCCCTGGCTCACACCTGTAATCCGAGCACTCTGGAGAGCTCGGGGCAGGATTTTGACCAGCCTAGTTAACATAGCAATACCCCATCTCTATTTTTTTTAAAAACTTATTAGAAGCCGGGCTCGGTGGCTCAGCCTGTAATCCCACGCTTTTGGGAGGCTGAGGTGAGTGGATTGCCTGAGCCCGCGGGTTCGAGACCCGCCTGGGCAACTTGGTGAGACCTCATCTCTACAATAAATCAAAAAATCACCCGGGCATGGTAGCGCAAGCCTGTAATTCCGGCTACTGGGAAGGCTGAGGCAGAAGGATTGCCGGAGCCCAGCAGGTCGAGGCTGCAGTGGCTCCAGTCTGGGCGACAGAGTGAGACTCCAACTTAAATAAATAAACAAACAAACAAACAAATAAATAAATTACTGAACAAAGAGATCAGACAAAAATACCCAGAAGTAATAGGAGAGAGAAAGAGACACGTATGTCCACCATATGTAAAGGAACCTCAGAAGGAGAGAAAGGAAGGGGGTAGCAGAAAACACATGAAAAGAGACAACCGATGCACCCAAGACCTGAGAGCTCCAAGCAGGATAAATAACAAGAAACAGACACCCATACCTATCAGCAAAACTGTTGAAAACCAAAGAAAGAAAAACACCATGAAAGCCTGCAGTAAAAGACTGCAGGCAGGGGAACACAAGTTAAACTGACAGGAGACGTCTACAGAAAGAATGAAAGCTTCAGTAACGTCTGTCAACACCTTAGAA